ACTCGGTGCAGTTCTGACAGTCTCTGACTCATTATGTCTGTAAGGACACCCCACTAGGAGCTGAGTCCTGTGCCAGCTGCCAAGGAGACACACAGGCAGAATAGAGTACATAGTGCTTGCCTTCAGGAAGCCTACTGCCAAGTAGGCAGTAAGAGACAGAACACGTGTGTTACTTAAACAATGCACCTGAGGAAGACAGACCCAGACCAGAGCTGCTTCAGAGGAGCTGATCGGTGTGGGCTAGAATAATAGGCAGAAGAAACAATATACAAGAGATGGATGAATATTTAGGCTAGAAGTCTTAAACTGGAGATGATGTAGTCAAGATAGAATAGAAAGTAAAAAAGAAATCATGCCATATCCTTCTAAACTGAAGGACAGTGAGCATAAAATACACCAAGTACACTAATCTTAAGTAAACAATTCAATGATTTTGCATTTGTAAAAATCCTTGTAGCCACCACTCATGTAAAGATATAGAGCATTTCCACTAAGAAAACTGTATACTTTTCAACAAGTCAAATTATTAAAACCTACCGGCTTTTTTTTCAGCAAGGAAACTATATTCTCTAGGGCAGCCTTATGTAATCAGGGATGCATTTTATGTAACGGTTTTAAACCCAGTGCTACCTCTTGTCCAATCTCAACTGCATTTATTTTGAAGCTTTATATGACCAGACAAATTGTAATCCACTGTATTTTTCAACATTTTCTTCCATCTATTATACCTCTTCCTCCTATGATTTCTGAAACTCCTTTATGTGATCTATGACAATAAAATGAGCTATCAAAGCATCTTCCTCTATCATGCTAAATCTCACGTCACCTTAAAGCTCACAAAACAATCTAGGACATCAGTCTTGTACTGGACATGAGGGGAAGAAGTCCTCAGGGCATCTTGCTGAATCCACAGCCAAGCTCAGGCAAATCCACAGCCATTTCTGAGGCAAAGAAACACGGAAGAGGAATGAGGATGGACAAATGACACAGAGCAGCCAATTTTAACTTGGGCAGCAGCCTAAGAAGCCAACTGCTTCCTGGGGGTGCTCTCCCCGACAGTAGCAGGTGATTGGATGGCCAAGCGTGCTCTTTCTTGAAGAGTGGGAATGTGAAACACACAGACAGAGGCCACATGCAATAGATCAGGATGGGAGCAAAGACACCCAGAGAAACAAGGCAGCAAGCAGAAGGAAGACAGAAAGGAGGTAGCAAGGAGGTCATTGGTGGTAGAGGAGGAAGAAGATGCATTCGGCGAGAGAAGCAGAGTCAACGGTCCTGGGCTATGAGCAGGGCACTCCACGCAGTTACTACTCGGTCACCCACTGTGGAGAAGCTGCTAGAACATAGGCCATTGTCACCTCCTGGCAGAGGGAACAGCCTTCTCATCCTGTAGCTGCTGAGACCTCCCAGGGATCATTACCAGAACTCCCAACCATGGAGAGAACCTGGGTGTATCTCTGCATCTTGACTCCTGAAGGAGATTCACACAAATTCTGCCTTCCATGCAATTCAAAGAGAGCATTTTTATAGGCGCCAGGAGCTGTGGGG